TATCTTACTCCTGATGCCATGACATATCATGCCATGCCATCCCATCCCATCCCAGACGTGCTCTTTCTGAAAATATCTTTAGTTTTCCTCTAGGCTGCGGCGTTCTCTAGTTGTGCGAGTACGAACTAATTTGGCTGAACAACTTTATATATATAGATATATATATATATATATGACAGAGGGATGGATGGGGCTAGATGGACAGACAGACGGGCGGTAGATAGATAGATAGATATAGATAGAGATATAGATATAAATAGATAGATAGATAGATAGATAGATAGATAGATAGATAGATAGATAGATAGATAGATAGATAGATAGATGGATAGATAGTTGGATTGCTAGATAGAAAGTTAGATAGATAGATGAATAAAGAATGAGAGCGAAAGTACGTGTGTTTGTGTCATCTTCGATTCATCGCGACACAGATAATCAAATATACGACGCTGCCGCAGCGCGTAGCCAGCAGCAGCAGCCGGGCTGCAGTTGTTTGCGTGGCCTGCATGCACACATCCCATTGATACATAACTGCTTACACGATGGATTCCCATAATAGGGCGACGAACATTGTTCGCAGCCCAGCTGCGCTTATGGATCTTCGCAGCCCCCGGTGCGAATGAAAGCAACCAGCATCCTGTATTATTATAAAAGCAGCAAACACAGTAAACGGCTATTCGCTGCGTGACAGCGCACGAACAGCGAGCCAGCAACAGCAGCAGCAGCAGCAGCAGCAGTAGCAGCAACATCATCAGCAGCAGTAGCAGTAGCAGCAGCAGCAGCAGCAGCAGCAGCAGCAGCAGCAGCAGCAATAGCAGTATCACACTATCAGTAGTAGTAGTAGTAGCAGCAGCAGCAGCAGCAGCAGCAGCAGTAACAGCAGCAGCAACAGCAGCAGCAGCAATAGCAGTAACACCCTATCAGTAGTAGCAGCAGCAGCCGCAACAGCAGCAGCAGCAGCAGAAGTAGCAGTAGCAACAGCAGCAGCAGCAGCAGCAGTAGCAGCAGCAGCAACAGCAGCAACATCAGCAGCAACAGCAGCAGCGGCGGCGGCAGCGGCAACAGCAGGCTGGGAGGAAGCGATCGTCAGCGCACCATGCACAACAGACTCGCTGCGTGCTTACACGGGGCGTAAACGACGCGTCGTCGGTCAACAAATAAAGCGTGTAGCTAGCTGGCGACTACACGCGCGTCTGCGCAAATATTGTTGCGCAGTCACTTTCAATAACCTCTCTCGCCAACTTCAATAACAACGCT